TGGTCGACCAAGGACCCGGCCCCCGAATTGGGACACAGCCACTGAGGGGAATCAAAACAACAACTGCCATGGAGCAGTAGAAAGACTGCTGGACATCAGAGACATCTTTCAGCTGATCATTTTAAAATCTTGCGGTGTGAACCAGGCATTAATGTTCGACTGGGGTTTGGTATGAAACAAGTTAAAAAGATGAGAGACGCCTACCGTTTTCTTCTTCTTCAGCAGAAACGAAAGTTGGACAGAAGCAGACAGGATATCCACATGAAGCACAACTGGATTAACTTTCTGTCCTACAGTGAGTTTAGAGTCTGGAAAACACACAAAACACACAGTAATTACAAATGTGAGGAGCTTCCAAACTTACTTGGGATTACTACAGAGGGCTTAGTGACATTTGTTGAAGAGGCTGAAACAGTACAGATCATTAGAACCAAAGATCAAATTAGCTAAACCAAAGCTAGTAGTGTTAGCAGTTCAGTACGTACCCGCCATGTGATGCTTATCAGCAAGAAAAGTGGCACCTCTCAGGTCGTCGGACTTAAAAGTGGCTTTGTTTTCCGTCACACTTTCCACTGTGAGCGTCAGCCTCTGACCAACAGACAGAGCCGCCAGCTGTTGCCGGAGTTCTCCTCCATCTGGAGTTCAACACAAACAGGAGAGGTCAGACACCTAAACAAGCCTTCAACCAATAAATTCCGTCATAACAAAAATAAAAAATGGGTTTTCAGTACAAACCAGTTCACCGCCCAGCTCTAATCGAGGACTTACAGGTATTTCATTTCTTATTAGCCTGCAGGCTAATAACTGTCTCTGACTCCATTCACAGATAGAAACACCTCAGACGTACCTCTGACAGCCAACATCTCATTCACGGCTCGTCTCTCCTGCAGTCCGTTAATCAGTCGGGTTTGTGCGTCTCCTCCTGGAGTTAAAACRTCCGACGGCCTTAAAGTGACCAGAAATCTGTGCTTCTCCTCGTCCAGGTTGGTCACTTTAGCAACGACGGTCTGACCCAGCTGGAAGGCGGTCACCGTGTCCTTGAGGAACTTGTCCGACATGACCTAAAAACACGAATACTTCAAACCCAGTTCAATAAATGGRAAATACACACCGTTTCCTTTTCAGCTTTTTACTCACTGATTTGGGAGCGAGACCAATGAGACCGTACGGGAACTCTACAAAAACGCCGTAGGACATGATGTTTTTGATCCAGCCGAACAGCTGCATGCCAACTGTGACCTCTGAGAAATCTGTGGCGACGATCCCCTCCTCCAGCGACCACCGCACTGTCGGCTTCTTGGTGAGCATCTTTAAATAAGCAGCAGCTCAGGAAAAACWAACGAAAGGATTTATCATTCTGAGACGTAGGCGGAGGTCAAACCTGAAGCTTTGCCTCTAACAAAAAGGATACAACATTCTGCTTGTTTTTGTTGAAGCAGACGAGGTTCGAGATGAGGTCGCCCTCCTGAAGGTTCTCCCACAGCAAGGAGCAGTTGGACATGTGATCAGAAAGGTGCACTGTGGGAACTACGGCGTGGATCTCATCAGGAAGGATGGAGACCTCCAGACCGTTGGCCAACTTTTTTACCAGCTTGGCTTCTAACCTCTGCATCAAAAACACAGCAGTAAGTAAGTAAAGTAAAGTTTTATTTATATAGTGCCTTTCACAGAAATAAATTCACAAGGTGCTGTACATTCAGGAAAGTGGGGAGAGGGCAGTTAAGAAACACCCATTCAAGAAGAAATACAAGGCAAACACGGGGGAACAGGAGAAACAGGTCATGCAGCAAACAAAGTTGTGCTACCTTTAACAACAGAAAAACTAAAAACCACATAAGGTAAGATGAAAAAAAGAACATGCAGTGACAAGAAATGAGACATTTTTGATCCACTGAGATGAATAAAAGGAAAAAAAATGCCTTCACCACACCTTTCCAATTTCGACGTCTAACTGAGGTTTGATGTCTTCCTCTGGCTCTCCTTGGGCTACGTCCTTAAACGACAGCAACATCTTCGCCTTCTCCGGGTCACACTGAAGAACTTTAGCCTTTAAAACCTGAAGCACAACCAGAAAACCACCTTCAAGTCTGGCTCCAACGCACAAAATCAACCCAACTCATTTCTCCACGTTTTATAACCTGTCCAACATAGAAGATCTCCTTGGGATTGATGGGCTCCGTGCTGAGCTCGGTGAGCGGCACCAAACCCTTGACGTCATTGTAGAAGCGAACGATGCAGCCGAAGTCTTTGACGCACACGATGACACCGTGGGAGACGCGACCTGGACGGGCGTCGGTGTAACTCAGGAACRGCGGCAGGGAGCTCTCGATCAGCGCCTTCTTCCTGCTCAGGTACATCTTCTTATTGTCTGCATCGACTGTCAGCACCTGAGGGCACAGATCCACAGACACACACTGAAGCCTGCTCAAACACCGGACACTGTTTGTGTTTTGCTTCTGTGGGCTTTTAATGGAAACCGTACTAACCCGACATTTAACCTTCATTCCCTCCGTGTATTTCTTCTCTGGGTTCTTGAGGATGATGTCAGAGAGGTGAGTCCGAGGTACCAGACCTTTAATGTTATCAGAMACATAAACCACCATCCCATAACTCAGGAGGCTTGAAACCGTCCCCTTTGAAGGAGACAAACACAGGACAGAATGAGACACACAGAAGCGAAAAAAATATATACATAATTTTTTCGCCATATATAAACAAAGCATTTTGTGCAATTTAAAGCWTTGCAACCAGGGCTTCAATTACTATTTTTATTTAAACATTGAAGTGAGGATTYGTTCTTACCTCTATAATCTGACCGGCATGAAAATCTGAATATTTGTAAAAAGGTTTCTCAATCAGACTCCTGCAATTTAAAACAAAGGACGTCAGCTCATCGAAGCAATAATAGAGGTTGTATGTGGAACACAAAGAAAGGCTGAGCTGCTGCTGCTGCATACTTTCTCAAAGTTACAAAATGAATCTGATCGATGAGGCTGAAGTCCATGATCCGACAGGTGTGCTCTGGCATCGCAAACACTTTGTTTTCATCGGCTTCTTTGTAGGACTCCTTCAGGTGGTTCCTCTGTCAAAACAGATGATAAAATTACATCAGAGCCAGAAAACGTATTACAATGTTCACACTAGGGTTGGGCGACTTAGGCAAAAAAATAAAATAAAATAAAATAAAATAAAATAAAATATTAATCTAGATTAATTGTGGTATTTAGCTAGCCTGGCCCTTGCCTTCCTACGCAGCTCCGCTCAATTCTAGTTTCCCTTCACTGCTCCGTCTGGGACTTCTCCCATTGACAAGGATTTCGCTGGCAGATTTTTAGCCGGGCCAATCAGAGAAGAGAACGTCAATTTTCTGCGCAGTGTCTGCTTGTAGTTTATTTTACCTGGGCCAATCAGCAAACAGAAGGAGGAGTTTTGAACGACGCTGACATTCTGCGCAGTGTCTGCTTGTAGTTTGTTTCACCTGGGCCAATCAACAAACAGAAGGAGGAGTTTTGAACGACGCTGACATTCTGCGCAGTGTCTGCAAG